GTTTATAAATGGAGATAGTTCAAGACCACAGTCACTCTCCCCAGGAGCGGTCGTCCTACCAAAACCTCTCCGAGAACACACCGGAAAAGCATCAAGGAAGTCACAAAGAACCCCAGAGAAACATCCATGGACCTGCAGGCCACTCTCGCCTTGGCTAATGTGAGTGTTCATGACTCAAATATCAGAAAAATAATGAACAAGAATGGTGTTCATGGAAGGATAGCAAGGAGAAAACCACTGCTCTCAAAAAAGATCATTGCTGCCCATCTGAAATCCGCCAAAGAGCACACAGATGAGCCACAAGACTTCTGGGACAATTTTTTCTGGACAGACGAAGAAAAGGTAGCACTTTTTAGCCTCAATGAGAAACGTTATGTTTGGCGAAAACCCAACACTTATTTTGAACAGAAGAACGTCATCCCAACCGTGAAGCGTGGTGGTGGGAATGTGATGGTTTGGGGCTGTTTTGCTGCCTCGGGACCTGAACGGCTTGCCATCATTGACACAACCACGATGCATGCATTGTATCAGAAGATTCTAAAGGAGAATGTCAGGTCACCTTTCCGTGAGCTGAACCTAACCCGAAAGTGGGTATTGTAGCAAGACAATGATCCTAAACATACAAGCAGATCTACAAAAGTATAACTGCAGAAGAAGAAATTCCACATTGTACAATGGCCTAGTCAAAGTCCGGACCTAAACCCCATCGAAATGTTGTGGCAGGGCCTGAAGCGAGTTGTCCATGCAAGGCAACCCTCAAATATCACCAAGTTTAAGGAGTTATGTAAGGAGGAATGGGCCAACATTCCTCAAATCCGATGTGAGAGACTGACCAATGGTTACAGGAAATGCTTAGTTGCAGTTATTGCTGCTCAAGGGGTTGTCACTAATTACTGAATCTAAAAGTTCACATACTTTTTCACACATGGTTATTAAATTTAGAATAATTTAAGGATGAATAAATGTTGAAAAAGTATCATGTTTTGTGTAATTTGTTTAATCAAGTTATCTGTATCTGGTATTAGGACTTATTAACATCTAATAACATTTTTAGTTTGAAATAGGTAAAATATATAAACATCCTAATGGGTTCACAAGCGTTTTCTCGGCACTGCATGTTATAATGTAAGCACATTAATAATAATAACAAAAATATGTATTATTTATACATTATTTCAGACCACAATGTTTGATGTATGGGTCAACACAAGCCAAAAATTAGAGATTTAATATGCTTAGGATTGAGTAAAATAGTAAGAAAGACTCAAACAAAACCAAGGCAATGCATTATTTTTTTTACTTTAAAAGCAGCAGGAGGCACATTCCAAACCTGCCGACACAGCTGCCTTGTTCTTAGCTCGTGAACTGGTCAGTGAAGCTACCCTTACTAAGAAATCGGAAACTTCTTTATACACATGTTTTAAGGTTTCCAGGTTACCTTTAATGACAAAATTCAATTCAGAAATCGCGCCATATTTTCCACCAACTGGAGTATTCCACGACAAAACTTTGGCCGCTGATTAGTTCCCCTAATTTCTTCATAAAACGACCACAATTTTTTTCGCCTAATGAAGTTATTTCTTCTGCGGATTTACGTTGGCCTGCGTTTCAGTTTTGATTGGCGTCGTGGTGGCTCCGTTCAGCCGAGGCATCTGCGAGCGCTGCCAATGTCCCCCCCATGCAACGCATGCCAGGTGCGGCCACCAGAGAACGGGCCCAAACGAGACGCGCGCTGCATTCACAACACCCGCCCCCACCACCACCACCACTACCGCACACCACCCCCAGCCCCCACCACCACCACTACCGCACACCACCCCCAGCCCCCACCACCACCACTACCGCACACCACCCCCAGCCCCCACCACCACCACTACCGCACACCACCCCCAGCCCCCCCCCCCACCACCACTACCGCGCACCACCTCCCAGCCCCCCCCCCACCACCACTACCGCACACTACCCCCCAGCCCCCACCACCACCACTACCGCACACCACCCCCAGCCCCCACCACCACCACTACCGCACACCACCCCCAGCCCCCACCACCACCACTACCGCGCACCACCTCCCAGCCCCCCCCCCACCACCACTACCGCACACTACCCCCCAGCCCCCACCACCACCACTACCGCACACCACCCCCAGCCCCCACCACCACCACTACCGCACACCACCCCCAGCCCCCCACCACTACCGCACACCACCCCCAGCCCCCCACCACCACCACTACCGCACACCACCCCACAGCCCCCCACCAACTCTGCAAAAAAAACGCACGAGGGTCGCCAAAAAAGCGATGCCTTATTTATAGCTGGAAACAAAGTAACGGTCAAAGGCGCAGCCCTGGAATTGATGGCTCATGCCGCTGTTTTGCAGAAGGGCCAAGCTTCAGAGAACCCCCAAAGGGGTATTTTGGCCTACTCGTTCACACTGCCCAGACGACTTGGAATTGATGGGGTATACCCACACTTCACCCCACCACACCGTGACCTGAAGATCGACGAACTGTAACTGCGGGGTGGGCAGAGTGAGGGGTGGTTTAAGAAACGTGTACCATCTTTCTTGGTTCTTTCGGTAAAGTCACGTAGAAGGGAAATAATAAAATAATAAAAATAAAACATAATACAATCAAATTCTCACGACGTTTCGGCCACAACGCAAGCAGCCGTCCTCAGGTGAAGAGAACCCATACTTTACCGAAAGAACCAAGAATATGAATCCCTGCAGTCACGAAAGCTTTAAATCGAAATTCAATGTGCACCATCGTTTCCAATTGCCGTGCCAGGGAATCCAACCGGCGCCCTCCAGATTACGAGGCCGCTGTACTCGCCGTTACGCCACGGTGTCAACCAACCGGATTTTATTTGAAAAAGGAAGCAGCCTTGCATTGCTTCTCCCACCACTTTTATAATTTCCGACGTACACTGTACATAACTTTGGCTCGTTGCATCTCTCCTGTTTTCTTTCAATCCTTCCAAAATGTATTTTGTGCTATACGGTTCGTCATAAATCACATGCTAAATGAACAAGTTGCAAAAATATTGCGTAGGTGTTTTTTAAAAATTATAACCATTATTCACGTGCTTGTGTTTCAAACAAAAACAACTGGTGCTCCATCGTTTCAACCGCCCGTGCTGGGACACTGATCTGGCGACCTCTACACTGCAAGGTCCGTGCCAGAACCATTGCGTTGGCTCGAAGTGAACATCGTGTGGCACAAAGAACTTTGACCTCTATGAATGCTCAACAACTGTGCTACTTCGCTCTGCATTCCAATTACTCGGGATATTCAGCATCGCTAAACTCACGTTAAGCACATGCAGCTGAGAACAGGAGCTTCTAAGCAATGGGTTAGGGTCCATCTCTAGTGGCGACGACGAGGAAGTGGTGGAAATTCTACATTCCCATGGAGTGAGCCAGTCTCTCCACGGAACATCGCCTGTTGACTTGCTGCGGCGAGAGCCATTTTAATTAACCTCGAGGGGAACGACAGCGTGAGTTTATTCCGATCGCGATTTCAACTTACGACCTTACGGTCGACCACATGTCGATGACATGTCGAACACCCTCACAACCAGTGGGTGCTTAAACGAGCATGAAAAATGTACGATAAAAACCGGACCCGGTAATGATGCTTCGATTCCAAGATTCACAATATACATGCATAAACGTTGTAAAGTGTCAATACATCATTGCTGTTGCTTCATATATGTTGTGCATAATGGGCCTAGCAATCAATGCAGCGATTCAGCAAACATGGAACGTTGGGCTAACGTTCGTCGAACGGTTCCAACCACATGCCAAGGTTGGCATGTTCATTTGAAGAATTGGGTGTGCTGCTTTCACCACAAATCTATAACACGTAATTTGATTCTTGAATTGAATCACGACCCTGAATTGGGACCATTTGATCAAGTGGATGGCTATGGGTCTGAAACGCAGCACGGAGCAGCCTGTCATCACCCGAGACGTACAGATGGATCAAACAAGCTTCAAAGGCGATGTAGATCGTGGAACATTGTTACGAATCAGATGACCTGTGAGTTAAACAGCACGTTTCCATGTAACGTCAACCGAGCAGTCTGCTCAGTGGCATGAAATGTGAAAAATCCCCGCATATTGAAACCACGTGTCTTTTAGAAAATTACAGGCAAGTACTAATGATATTAGAATGCCTTGTTACTATACAGAATTTGCCAATGAACCACGTCGTCCACATTGGGAAGGCCAAAGTCTCAAAGAGTAAGGAGGGAAACAATGCAGTGTACAACACCAGCCAATTTTATCGGCTTTTCACGTGAAGTTAATTGGCCGAGCGTTCTGTTGCAAGAGCACTTGAGTCACAATTGGGGGGCTTGTGAGTTTAAAATCCCAGTTGTGATTGACTTAGCCTATCATCCCTCCGGGTCCTATGAAATGAGTAGCACTTTGTGGGAAATCAACCGTCGTTGTTTCTACAGATAAAACTGGCCCTCTCTTAGAAATGCGACATTGCCACTGCTGGTTCAGCGTTTTCCACTGAGGATGAGAACCGCCCAAAACGTGTTTTGTGTTTAAAGGGACAGTTTAGCACCAAAGTATTTGTGAAAAAAAATCAGAAACGTAAACATCGACAGAAATTGACATTTACACCACTGCGCGCAAATAGGTTACTGGACAAAAACAAAACACAAACTGCTTTCAAGAACGCAGGAAACTACTTAACTATATTTTAGAAGTTAGCCAATGTCGACAAAATTGAGAACACATTGCCATACGTGAAAAGGTCACATTTGTGAGCATATTTCAAAAAAATAATTACAACGTGCACATATTTTGCACTCGATGCGAGCAGTGAATTGGTCAGGCCGGATATGTGATGGTCAGAAATGCCACGTTGTATGGTCAAACAAAACGAACGTACATTTTCGCCAGCATCCCAAGTGAATTATGCCAGATACAATATAACAAAAGAGGGCACGTCCTGCTGGCCTTGCTATGGCATTTATAGTCGTACCTTGAGCCCAGGGGGGCCACGTGGGCCCTCTTGCCCTGCTTTGCCGGGCAGGCCTTGAAATCCTTGTGGCCCCTGCGGACCAGTGATGCCCTGGGGGCCTGGGAGGCCAATTGGCCCAGGGGAACCAGATGAGCCAGGGGTCCCTTGCGTGCCCTGAATGACATGGAGACAACAACCACACAATTTTAATGTCATGGGAAAGCGGGAATCAAGGGAATAAAACAGCGTTCTCCATTTCAAGGCCTCGCGGGCAACTGGTGGCCCCTGGTGGCCTTAAGTGCAGCCCTTGACGTGCGGTCCCCGACAATACACAAATAGTGAAAACACCCCTTGCGGGCGGTGTGGCGGCCCTCACGCTGATGATGTCTTCTCGGCGAAAGTGGCCTCCCTCTGAAGATTAGTGGAGAACACCGGAATAAAACATTTCCGAAAAAAAGTTCAATAATCACCAAAACAAGTACTGTGGAGAACTCTCTTTCAAAAAATTATTATCAATTATCTACTGTCAAGTGGGGAGCGATGTCTTCTGGAAGATCGTTCTAAACAGCTGGCGGTATCTTCTCTCCTCTGGGTGGTCATGTATCACTTTAGAGAACTGCTTTATGGATTAACAGATATCCCGATAAGTGTTGCTTTAAAGTAGAGGGCAAAAATGTGTTTGTTATAATCTGGAAAAATGGTTTAGGAAAAAAATGCCTTACATTTACTGGACAGAGTAGATGGGATTGGGTGACAAGTGATGTTAGATGATGGACTTGCAGATATGCAATGGTTGATGGTCACAACCAAGTCACCAATGCTTCCACCAAAAAGCCATCACATTAGATTTGTTTTACAAACCACGTACTATAGAGTTGTCCACAGCATGGAAATAAACTCACGTTTTTTTTACTTCTCCGAGCTGAAATTCTTAGTGCAATCATCGGTTGAACAGGCTGTGCCCATTGAATCCCTGCCATTGAGAACTCACCACAAAAGGAAATCCTGCCTATATCTGAGATAGACACATGCGATTTGAAGCCAAGTTCTCACGTAGTGATCCCGACAAAGCCAAAGAATATATGCGCTCTAAATCCAAGCACTCAAGCCAGATCTTGTAACAGAAGCTGCTGCAGCCTCCGGGCAATCTTACAGACCTGTGTGACATGGTACAGAGGCGGGCACCCAGACATGCTGACCCAGAGACCCAGACACAGACTGGTCGGTCGGTTAGGTCATTGGCCCAGACTGAACAGCAAAAATCTACAATTACGGCTTGGACGTTAACCAGAGGCTGCGCACACTGACACGCGTTGCGCACACACTCATATATACACACACACACACTTGCACATAAACACACATGTACATACAAACATACTCGAACAAAGACAAAAATCTCCAGTACAACCGATGTAGACTGCTGGGGCACTTAGAAATGTATATGCGGCGCACGAGAGGCGTTGGTGTGCCAACACAATGCCAGCCACCTTTGTCTCCCCATGGCTTAAGAGCTAACTCGGGTTGCCGGGTTCGTCGCAGTGGACGAACCACGGTGCCACCGCTCAACCACAGACGCATAACACACCCATATGCCGCACACACAGATACATGCCAACATGGTCTACACAAATGCAGATACGGACATATACGTATGGACACGTAACCGTATGCAAACACATACATGTAACAATATGGACATCCACTCGCATGCAAAAACACAAAGGTCCCCTGTATAGCCTTTCACAGACTGTTGGGGCAAGTGCTGTTGGCGAGCACATGTTTGAAAGCCGGTACGGATAACGAGGGGGTGGGTGGCCAGCACCACTCCCAGCCGCCCTTGTCTTCCCAGTGGCGATATTTACACATCGCACCAGGTACTCATTTGAGACTGAGTCCATCTAGGGGATTCCGAAGACCGGTTCAGATATTTGTCACTGGTGTTGGTGGCCATGAGCGAGAATCGAACTTGGGGCGCCGGGTTAGTAACGCAGCGCACTGACCGCTACACTGACTCCACACAACCCACAGACACACGCATCAAGTTGTCGTCAGGCTGTAACGTCCCAGCTACTCTTGTCCAGTATTGGCCTCCAAACTCTGCAGCGTCGCCGCACTGCTGCCACCTCGCCAGTTGTTCTCATGATGCATTACGCCCCTTGATTCAATCTGCGCACACAACAGCCGCCACTTGCCACTACACGGCGGTGATGTCACCAAAGCGCTTGTGCCAGGCTAGGTCCACCTTGAGGCCACGTGAAGTGTGGATGGGTCGCTGATGGGTGACGGGACAGACCCAGGTGCTATGGATCGACTGAGGTGACTGGCAGATGCACCACCTGTGCTCCCCACTGCGCCAACTTGCTGTGTTATAAGCCACCTGGAGATGTGATCATTGTTGTTGGAAGGCAACTGCTCAGCTCTTATTTTAACAGCTCAGCTCTTTTGTGGACACATGATGATGCTGGAGGTAATCTGCAGCGAAATGTCGTGTAAAATTGTCAAACATGTTTGCTTGCTTTCAAAATTCCGTTTTTGCTGATAAAACCAAATTTATTTACATATTTCTAGATTTGAAGCTTTCGTGACTGCAAGGATTCATATTCTTAGGTTTTTTCGGTAAAGTCACGTTTACATATTCCGTGAAAAATTACTTAACAGCTCATAGGATTCTTCCAGTATAAATACAAATTATGATTCTGAATCTAAACATTCTCTGAAAATTGTCTCTGTCGGGTGGTGGAGGGTTATAGTCACAAAAAACATCATACCTAAAATATGAATCTTAATGTGCCGTATGTGCAGAACCCCCTCCATTCTGCAACCACATTTGGGCTCGACACGCCTTTCCTCATTGTGCTGGGCAAGACAACTCAATAATCCTCCACTCGGGGCTTTCCTGGTCTCACGCCGAGGAGGGAGATGTCCCGGTAGTTGTTACAAACAGTGCGGTTGGACCGTTCTGCAAAAGAGGAACCACCAGGAGGGAATCGTCACAATCCTGCGGAGCCTCTCCTCTTTAACGACGATTACTGGTCCCACGAAATCGGTCATTAAGTGATTTGGTCGTTAAGCGAATATAGGAAATAGACGTTAAAGGCTGAATTCGTTTCGATAGCATCGAAAGTGACCTCTTTTCACCCGAAAAACGTAAGTTATAATACTTAAACAATGGATATTAATACGCAAAGATACTAGCAACATTATAAACACAAACTATTAAATGAAACAAAGTTAATCAACGCATTAATGAATATTTACTGCACCGACAACAGCCTGTCCTTAAAAGCGGAATGGTTGGTAAGCGAACACATTGGGTTCTATGGAGGCACTACACTCCTATACACTACACTATACACTACACTATAGACTACTATACACTACACTATACACTACACATTGGGCTCTATGGAAGCCCGTCGTTAAGCGACGAGTGGTTAACAGGGGTGGTCGTTAAGAGCGGTTTTACTCTATACTACTATACACTACACTACTATATACTACGCTATACACTACACTATACACTACTATACACTACACTATACACTACACTATACACTACACTATACACTACTATACACTATACTATACACTACACTATACACTACTATACACTACTCTATACACTACACTATACACTACTATCCACTACAATATACACTACTATACACTACGCTATACACTACTATACACTACTATACACTACACTATACACTACACATTGGGCTCTATGGAGGCCCGTTGTAAAGTTAACAGGGGTGGTCGTTAAGAGCGGTTCTACAGAAGATCATATAGGGTAGCCTGCACAAATTTCCACCCTGCCTCGGCAGCTCACTGGGGAGGTAATCTCTGCCTGGCCTTTTTCCTGTTCTCAGACTCTGGATCGCGCTTCAAAATTTCTGAACAGATGGCAACATCAGCCAGCCACTCACATGGGGTAGCTACTCCCTCCGATGCACGGATACCTCGGTTAACAAAGCCTCGGGGAACGAGGCTCCTTCATAACGAAATCAGCCGTGGCGCGGGCCCCTTCACCCACCTATTTTTTCAACAACAACAAAAATAATCTAAAAAGATTTCTTCAGAAATCATGCAAAGCGATTCCAAAGAGTAACATTTTAATTGTGCGTGTGCCCTGTGACCGCGACCAAGTGGAGTTTGTTTCCTGTAAAGTATCAGCAGCCAATCCCAATGCCTTCTGTTCATCTCCCTCTGGTAACGAAGTGTCTGGTAATGAAGTGACGTCATGAACCGCACCTACTTTGTTAACCGAGGTATGACTGTATTTGAGGCAAGGAAGTCCCAGCAGGGTCAACCCTACCTTGCCCCATGATGTTATCTCAGTTGAGGGGTTTACCCTTCCCCAAGACATCACGTTAATACTCAGCAAACCTGCAGACCTATTCCTGGGGATTGGAGATTGCATCGCCACTCGGCAAAAGGTGCGGTGCTGCAAGTAACTTTCTTCATGTCATTAATAAGTGATGTGGTTGTGAACTGATGAGGCAGTTTCCATCTCCTCAGCAACCTGCGACCACCACTCTTGCTTGCAGCACCGCACAGCCGCCTCTTTTTCCGACATGGGACGTTGTAGATTGTAGGAATCACTTCCTCTCAGCTATCTGGAACACCTCCCCCGTCAGGGAAGGTTTCTGGGGAGGTAGGTATTCCCAATGCTGTCCTAAACCTCACACATTTCCTCTTGATATCAGGAGGAGGCGGGGATGGTGCCAACTTCAGCTGCAAACATTTTCACTTGCAGTGTTCATCAGCTCGCCGAGACTAGGCTATTGTTGATATGAATGGGGTCATAGGTGGACACCCACCACGCTGGTAGAAGATTTTCAGATGCATTTTTACAGATGACAAGCCGATGATCAGTGGGCAGATCAGCTCCATGATAGGTCCTGGTGTCAAGGATTTGGGTCCGTAATCGCTCTTCCATCACTATATAGTCCGGGAGATGTTCTTGCTTGGACACAGCGTGCACCCACGAGGATGTGTGGATTCATGACTGCGGGATTAGCGTGTTGGTTATTCCAAGCCCATGGGCTGCACAACGTTATAGCAGCATCCTATGGTTGTTATTTCAGCTGATTTGGTCCATGTTTTTAAATAACTCCAGCCCAGGTGCCTGTGTCATGGCCCACTCGGGCATTTAAGGCATCCAATAG